CCCTCTAAAACCTGGCTGGTCAACCAGCTAAAACCAGCCAACCATCCTAGGCTGGTTTAAGCTGGATTTTTCAGCAGGGTGTAGTGTATGAGTGTGTGTGGGTGCTTCCCAGGGATGGGTTGCGGCTGGAAGAACATCCGCTGCGTAAAAACCTGCTGGATAGGTTGGCGGTTTATTCCGCTGTGGTGACTTCGGATTAATAAAGGGACTACGCCAAGAGAAAATGAATGAATGAATGGTCTAAATCAGTCTAATTCAACTCAATGATCTATGCTAAGCTAAGCTAAAAGTGCTTCTGTCAGACGGAGATTGGCTGAAGAATACTCAGCTGTATAACTGCTGGTGAGCTGTAAAATGAGCTTGTTTACAGATTGTTGAGCGCTCTTTAAGAGTTTAACAATTCAAAACCACTCATTTATGTTATATATCCTTGTTAGTTGTGTTGTAGCTAAGCTACCAGTGAGCTTGATGCAGTTTAGCGTTTCTAGCATGCTGTTGTGCTCTTAATTGAATGTGAGAGATGTGCTGAGCGAAACACTCCTCAGAACCTGCTTGGTAAACGATGGCTCGGGTAATGGGTCGTCACGAGTGCTAGCCCGCATCAGGGAATGTGCTGACACCAGCTGAAGCGCTGACAACAACACACTGCTGCTGAAATATTAAACACCTGGCAGAGAAGCCAGACCACTGCACAGTATTGGTTTATCCCATGAGCTGTTTTATACAAGATGAAAAAGCAGAGGAGAGGAAACAGTAGCTTGAATCACTGTGGATGAACAACGAGAGCGCTGTGGAACATTCTAGTGTCTCTAGGAGCATATAATTATTATATGACAACAGATGGGTGTGTGTGTGTGTGTGTGTGTGTTAAGAGTACTTGGAAGAATTACTTGGTTGTCTGTGTACCTGGATGTTTTCTAATAAATCTGGCGGACTAGATTATGGATAAATCTGAGGAAAGCATGTTCAGGCCTTATGTGTGACCGAGAATTGAAAAAGAAAGAGATATTGTATATTGCAAACAATTAAGCCCTGTAGAAAATACTTTTATCCGGTTCTGCTTGTGTATAGATGTTTTTACATTGTACTTAAATCTGAATGTATGGAATTAGAGCTGTAATATTAATATTAATATTAATAATAATAATAATAATAATAATAATTCCCCTACTGGAAAAAAAACAGCTTAAACCAGCCTAGGCTGGTTGGCTGGTTTTAGCTGGTTGACCAGCCTGGTTTTAGAGGGGTTTTGGCCACTTCCAGGCTGGTTTCCAGCCATTTCCAGCCTGGTCTTAGCTGGTCAGGCTGGGAGATGACCAGCTAAAACTAGCTTGACCAGCCTAGCCAAGCTGGGAGCCCAACCAAAACCAGCTATGTCCAGCTTAAACCAGGCTGGTCAAATTGGTTTTAGCTGGATTTGGCTGGTCATTTTCCAGCCTGACCAGCTAAGACCAGGCTGGAAATGGCTGGAAACCAGCCTGGAAGTGGCCAAAACCCCTCTAAAACCAGCCTGGTCAACCAGCTAAAACCAGCCAACCAGCCTAGGCTGGTTTAAGGAATCTGTAATCTAGTACTGGGGAACACCCATACACTCTCACATTCACACACATACTTATGCACTAAAGCCAATTTAGTGCAACACCCTTATAGCGCATGTGTTTGGACTGTGGGGGAAACAGGAGCACCCGGAGGAAACCCACGACAACACAGGGAGAACATGCAAACTCCACACAGCAATACCACCTGGCCCAACCGGGACTCGAACTAGTGACCTTCTTCCAGTGACCGACAGTGCTAAACACTGGGCCACCATGCCACCTTGTACTATCGGGCATCTCTTCTATGACCCATGCACTG